TCATTTTTGAATGAAAAAACGGAACTAAACGTAACATAATCATAACTATGTGTATGTTATGATATGAGAACGGGAGCATAACACTGGTTATACTGGTTTTAAGAGAAGGAAGTAGACAGACAGGAAGCAGTTGAATCTTAATCACAACTTGAACAGACACAATTAATAACAATTAGCAAATGCTGCAGGTTTTGAAGATCCATCATTTTCTCCACAAGCAACTAAATCTCTTCTAGACGTGTTTAAAATGTGATCCTATTATTAAAACATAAATTGCAAATCTAACCGCAACTGAAATGCTTGTGTGAAAAATACAATAATCCATATTTAAACTAGAAGATCTATTATTATCATTTTATTTTTTGAAAACAGTATTGAGCCTTTTCCGATTATAAAAATGACTGAGGCAGCAGAGATTGTGCAAAATAGTCCTATTATTACAGGTAGCAGTGTCAAATAAAGTATACTTCAGTAAAGACTAGTGTCAAATACAGTATACTTCAATAAAGACTACTCTCAAATACAGTATACTTCAATAAAGACTACTCTCAAATACAGTATACTTCAATAAAGACTAGTGTCAAATACAGTATACTTCAATAAAGACTACTCTCAAATACAGTGTACTTCAATAAAGACTACTCTCAAATAAAGTATAAAGACTTCATAAAGACTTACAGTATACTTCAATAAAGACTACTCTCAAATACAGTGTACTTCAATAAAGACTACTCTCAAATAAAGTATACTTCAGTAAAGACTACTCTCAAATACAGTGTACTTCAATAAAGACTACTCTCAAATACAGTGTACTTCAATAAAGACTAGTGTCAAATAAAGTATACTTCAATAAAGACTACTCTCAAATAAAGTATACTTCAGTAAAGACTACTCTCAAATACAGTGTACTTCAATAAAGACTACTCTCTACTACTCTCAAATACAGTGTAAAGATACTCTCAAATAAAGTATACTTCATAAAGACTACTCTCTACTCTCAAATACATACTATACTTCAATAAAGACTAGTGTCAAGTACTCAGTACTTAAAAAGACTACTCTCAATAAAACTAGTGTCAATACAGTATACTTCAATAAAGACTACTCTCAATACAGTGTACTTCAATAAAACTAGAAATACAGTCAAAAAAAGTCAAATACAGTATACTTCAATAAAGACTACTCTCAAATACAGTATACTTCAATAAAGACTACTCTCAAATACAGTGTACTTCAATAAAGACTAGTGTCAAATACAGTATACTTCAATAAAGACTACTCTCAAATACAGAATACTTCAGTAAAGACTACTCTCAAATACAGTGTACTTCAGTAAATACCTGTCAGTATACTTCAGTAAAGATCAGCTTCAAATACAGTACACCTGTACTTTAGGGAACAGTGTCAAATGCAGTATACTTCAATAAAGACTCGTCTCAAATACAGTGTATTTCAATAAATACCAGTGACAAATACAGTGTACTTCAGTAACAACTACTCTCAAATACAATGTACTTCAATAAAAGCCAGTGTCAAATACAGTATACTTCAGTAAAGACTACTCTCAAGTACAGTATACTTCAGTAAAGACTAGTGTCAAATACAGTGTACTTCAGAACAGATTACTCTCAAGTACAGTATACTTCAGTAAATACCAGTGTCAAATACAGTGTACTTCAGTAAATACAAGTGTTAAATACAGTATACTTCAGTAAATACCAGTGTTAAATACAGTATACTTCAGTAAATACCAGTGTTAAATACAGTATACTTCAGTAAATCATACAGTATACTTCAGTACAGTGTTAATACAGTATACTTCAGTAATACCAGTGTTAAATACAGTATACTTCAGTAAATACAGTTAAATACCAGTAAATACAGTAAAGTACCAGTTATACAGTCAGTAAATACCAGTGTTAAATACAGTATACTTCAGTAAATACCAGTGTTAAATACAGTGTACTTCAGTAAATACCAGTGTTAAATACAGTATACTTCAGTAAATACCAGTGTTAAATACAGTGTACTTCAGTAAATACCAGTGTTAAATACAGTATACTTCAGTAAATACCAGTGTTAAATACAGTGTACTTCAGTAAATACCAGTGTTAAATACAGTATACTTCAGTAAATACCAGTGTTAAATACAGTGTACTTCAGTAAATACCAGTATTAAATACAGTATACTTCAGTAGGGACCAGTCTCAAATAAAACACTGAAAAAAACTAAGGTGCTTCAAATGAGTGTTGCCCTGCTGAAGGCCAAAGGGCTGAAACATGTTGGCGAGATTTGAACTTTATCTACGATGTGCAAATAAAGGCTTTTATTATTTTGTACCTTTTGAGCTCATCAGTGTGTTCAACTTTAAACAGCTTGAATCTTGACAACAACTACAGCCCTAAACTCTGTGTCATGACCGAAAGGACAAGAGTAACGATGTAAACACCAGCGGAGGGACTGTGTTTGTGTGAGACCCCCTCAAACGAGCTTCACAGGGGCCGAGGGAAATCTGAGCATCTCTGCTACGACCGCTGCCTCCATGACCCAGCTGCAGACACAAATCCACCTATTTTTACTCATTTGCATTTGCTTTGGTTGTTTCTGTGGATGTCAGAACAGGAAACAAGCATAAACTTCTATTTAAATTATAAAGAGCTGAAAAAGCACAGGAGACTTCACACGTTCATTTTAAGAAAAGCGTAGGATGAGCAGGAACAACCTGACAGCGTGAGCAAGGAGTCCCAAACACAGTCAATCTTTACAGAAGACTATCTATACAAGTGATACTTTATTATGTAACTATTACCCAAGGACTGACTGTGCTGGACGACTTCTCACTCACAATTATAAGATCCTGCCAACACACCCAATGATTGACACCGAAACATATCACAGCTAAAGACAGTATGGCTCACACCCTTTAGCCCACTGGAGTCACCTACAGAGGTGTTTAGGTGGTCCTCTGTAGCCCACTTGAGTCTCTTACAGAGGTGTTAAGG